GAAGGGGTCCCCACCACCACATCCATCAGCTTCTCCTGCCTCCCAACCTCCCAGAGCCTCAAAACCACCTTCCCAACACTCCAATCAGGCCCTTTCCCCCTCTCCATCCCTCCCCCAAACTCACCCAGCTCCGTGGGCTTCAGCAGCTCGTCCAGGGTGGTGTAGAAAGGGAGCTTGACCAGGCGAACCTCGGGCTTGGCAACTTTGGGAGGCAACCTCCCGAGTCCGTTCAGGTATTTGCCGTAGAGGGCGGGGTAGTCGATGTTGGGGGTGGGCAGAGTCCGAGCCACGGCGCTGCCGCGGTCGTAGGACGAGTGTAAGGGCAGGGCCTCGGCCCGGGGCTGCTGCGGCTGCTGCTGCTGCTGCGGGGGCGGCGGCGGAGCCACTTCCGAGCTCTTCTTGCTGTAACGAGTCTCGTAGAGCTCCTTGATTTTCTTGAACACCTCAGGGCTGCAGTCAAACTGGACCAGCTGCAAAGCTCGGGTCACTAGTTCGTGTTTAAGTCCGCTTTTACTCCTGCCAACAAAACCCAGCAACATCTGAAGATCTGAGACCCGGAAACTCATCACCATGTTCTGGGGGATAAAAAATTGGAGAGGGTCTTATAGTTATGAGAGGCAAAGGTTGTCGGTTCTTGATTTATTCATTAGAAGGCAAGTAGTAAAAAGTTCCACCCCCAGAGTTGTGCAAACTCGGTGCTGGCGCTTGGTTTGCTTCCCCTTTTCTTAAGGGTGTGAACGACACAGAGATGGGTGATTGAAATGTAATTAGGAAAGTTAGAGAAACATCAGGATAGGCATCAAATAGCACAGAAATCACTGTGATAGAAATACACCGGGATAGGCAACAAATTGCACAGAAATCACTGATAAAAAACTACCAGGATAGGCAACAAATTGCACAAAAATCAGTGATAGACAAACACCAGGATAGGGATCAAATTGCACAGAAATCACTTTTATAGGAAAATACCAGAATAGGCATCAAATGACACAAAAATCACTGATAGAAAAACACCAGGATAGGTACCAAATTACATAAAAACTACTGATGGAAAACCACCAGGATAGGCACCAAATTACACAGAAATCCCTGAGAGACAAACACCAGGATAAGGATCAAATTACACAAAAATCACTTTGATAAAAAACACCAGGATAGGCATCAAATTGCACAGAAATCACTGTGATAGAAATACACCAGGATAGGCACCAAATTACACAAAAATCACTTTGATAAAAAACACCAGGATAGGCATCAAATTGCACAAAAACCCCTGACAGAAAAATATCAGGATAGGCACCAAATTACACAGAAACCCCTAACAGAAAAACACCAGGATAGCACCAAACTACACAAAAATCACTTCAATAAAAACCACCAGGACAGGCACCAAATTACACAGAAATCCCTGATAGAAAAACACCAGGATAGGCACCAAATTACACGAAAATTCCAGATAGACAAACACCAGGATAGGCACCAAATTACACAAAAATCACTCTGATAAAAACCCACCAGGATAGGCATCAAATTACACAGAAATCCCTGACAAACAAACACCAGCAAAGGGATCAAATGACACAAAAATCACTTAGAGAGATGCTCCAAGGGAGCATCCTGGAGACAGGTCAGTTGGAAGCAGAAGTGCCCACCAAGGCCTCAAGCAGCAGGTCCCACGTGCAGAAGAGCACAGGAACTCCTTCAGCACACAGGCTTGAGGCACCCAAACCTCCCAGGAAGAGAATTCCCTCCCTCCTCTGGGAAGAGAATTCCAGGGAAAATTTCCTCCCCACTGGTGTTGGTGTAAGGCAGAGGAAGGGAATCAAGGGGAGCTGGGGGGCAGGTGAGGCTCAGGCAAACCGGGGTCACCAGTGGATTTCAGGAATGGGCAAAAAAACCCCTCCAGAATCCCTCCTCCATGCCCAGGATCTTGGGGAACATCCCCTTTTTTAGAGGATGGAAGGATATTAAGATGA